TGTTGTTAATATATGTCCAACAAAAATAATTCTTTATTATATAACCTATTACCAAGACAGACAAGGTCAACACCAAATCTAAGACCAACTCAAACTCAATTAGAAATAGCAAGAAAGATTAATAGAATCTTAGATATAAGAGACAACAAACCTATAAGACCTTTACCACTTATACCAAATATCTTAAGACTACCACAAGTGGCACCCAAGATAAACTTAATTAGAAGGAGAAATAGATGAAACTTGAAGTAACATCCTTCCTAGGAGAAATAACAACTCTAATCTTACTTATAATAGGACTGATAGTATTCGTAGTTATAATACTTATCAATAAAAAAAAACAAAAGAAAAGAACATTAGGACAACAATTAATTGTGAACCAAGCAACAAGAACAGCAATACCAAATATAGAACTAATTAATCAACAATTTGGAACAACATATTAATGGCAAATACTGTTATACAAATAACTATACCAACATCAACATTAATAGTAACAGCACAACTATCCAGACCACAACTGCAACAACATTACTATTCACAACTGAGAACCCAGCATTCTTTCAAGACCAAAATGTCATAGATATAGTAGCAGTAATAGTAACATTAATTATAGTATTAGGAAAAACAACCTTTATCATAATCTTTTGTATAAAGAGCAAAAGAAACATATTAGCAAGACATGATAAAGAAAGAGAAAATGAAAATATTGCTAACAAGTAAAAGCAATAACAGCAACACTTTAATGAACAAGTACATAACTAAAAAACCATATAAAGGATTAGTGCTTGAATTATTACAACCAAAAGAAGAACCTAAATATATTATTAAAAAAGTAAACCAAGAAGCCAAAGAACAAGAAAAAATCAGAATACCAAAGAATTATCCAGTAAAGAAATTCTTACTAGAAACCTGGAAGAAACAACTTAAAACAAATATTATCCAAACAGAAAACCTTATCAAGCTACAGAAGTTAGCAATAAAACTACAAGAACCAAATGAACTCATTGTAGAAATAGGATCAAAAATCTGAGAAAAAGAAATTAACAAAAACAAACTTTAATGTTTACTTGTGACAAAGGAAGCCAAACATATTATTCAACCTTCCTAGCATACTATTATAAATACAGATCAAAAGAATTATCCTTTTTAGAAAAAGAAGAACTCAAAAAAGCAAAAAAAAAACTGTTAACTAAACTACAAGAAGTAGGACAAGAAGTAACAGAAATAATCAAAGAAGAAAAATTAACCAAAGTATCTATAATAATAGCACCAGATACTACTCCAGCACTACATACAATAAAAGTAAAAGTACCAAGAAGACATAGATTCATAAGAACAATATCTGAAGAAGAATTAGCTTGCCTAATAATTTATAGTCATGAACTACAAGATTACTCAACATATAATCTAGCAGTACAGCAATCAGGAATTGCTGAAACGAGAATACAAGATTATCTAAAAAACACCAAAATAATAAAACCACAAATATATTAAAATGGTAGAACAACCAGAAGTAAGATTTCCAAATCAAAAATCATTATATGGAATCAGAAACTTCAATGAAGAAACAGCAGAATACATTCAATAGAGAAATGAATTAGAAATAAAATTTATTGAAATGGGTATGGATAATACACTAACCATATTTGGAAGATTTAGTAAAACCCAGACTTAGGATACACCATGCAACAACCTGATTATGACTCGGGAGCAGACTTACCAAAAGCATATTGGAACATGAAATTTTTCAAAAGAATAAAATCAGTAATATATACAAAATTACATAGAGCAGCTAGAAGACTACTAACAACAAACCCAAATGTGAATTGTTACTTTAGAGTAATTGCAAATCAAAATAAGTTAAACAATCTAAAAGATTCAACTAATTACCCAATAACAGCAGGAGTAAACTATGCCGCTGACAATTGGCATGATACAGGATTAGTAGGCAGAAGCCAATGCACATATCAAACACCTCAAATATCATTAAGAGAATTACTAGATAATACATATCTAACAGATAAAATCCAACTAGGAAGACAAAAAGATTTCCAAAACCTTATATACAAACCAGATTATGGAACTGAAAATGATGTAGATAACTTCAGAAATAGATATGAAAAAACAATGGCATTATC